AAACGACCAAAAAATACAGTTTCAATTAACTATTTGAATTCAGCCTAAAATTTTATAACCTCATAAAAAATTGTATTAATCTAACCTCTCATTCCACATGATTAATACCATCCAGATTTGGCAGCTATTATATTCGTAACAGTTATTTATATTCATTTTAAATATTAAATGGAATTTAATGAAATTGACATCAAGGAATTTCTGTACTACTGTAACATGTTTTCAAGCTAGAGGCATGTCAAAGACAATACGTTTGCTGATCCAAAAGCGTAAATATTTTGTGAAAGAAGTGGATGGAATTTGATGAAATTGATACATAGTTGATCATCTGTTTACTGATTTTTAGCTTTCTACCAAATTTGAGACAAATCGAACTTGCGGTTCAAGAGACATAGACATATCAAAGAGAAAACGCTTGCACACATGTAAGAGTAATGTAAGATACTACATATTTTTTTATTTTTACAAAACCCCACCTTTCGTCCAACTTTGAGCCAAAAATGATATATTGGTATAAATAAGAAAATACGTTTGCGTGTGTGTAAACGGAAGTATTAAATGAAATTTGATACGAAACTATCTAGGCACCAACCTGCACAATCCCTGAAAATGTTATGAAAATCGGATAAGCGGTAGTAGATGATATGCCCGTCACATCAATTTGACTACAGACATACAATGAACTCTGAATTGGAAATTTTCGATTCTGAGCACAAACATTTTGCTAACCTCCAACGTGAATACAAATCTACCCTGCCTTTGGTAGTGAGGAAGCAAAAGATATCTTGTAGTTCGGATCTACAAACAGATTCAGGAAAGTTACGACCCCGATGTTAAAGTTAGCCCTTAAAGTGCAGGGTTACACCTATAAACTGCCACTTTAGTGTAGGTTTATAAAATCTTCTGTAAATGTTTTGTTAACGGAAGTACAAAGAGGTTTTCTATAAATAGATAAGGGGAAACGATCAACATTTCTAACAACTAATAATTTAGTGAGCTACGAGCAAAGTCTTTGTGATACTTGGATACCGGCACCAATATTAAAAACTAATATTGTTCCTACCGAGATATTCAAGAACAATGTTAAACCCTTAATTTTTGTCAGGATGGGAACAACAATAAATTCGCCACTTCGTTAGCAGAATTGATTTGGGTAGTTTATTCCAAAGATAATACAAAACATTTCTATCTTAGTTATCAAACATAACCTGGTAGTTTTTAAAAATATACATTCTTAAATATAATAATACATAAATAAATAAGCTGTATTTAAGTTATGAGATAAACATTTAAATAAATAATGGAATGTAAAGACGTTCTTTCACAATATTTTTGAAACCGATTATTATTTTTTCGATGATGAAATATTATTTAAAAAAAAATAAAACCTCATTATTTTATTGACCATTTAACAGACCCCTTTTTTTATTTCAATGAACCATTCAAACTAAAACCAAAACGTTTCTTTCTTTTTTTTTCCCATCAAGCCTTAAGCCATGGCTTTTTATATTTTATTTATTATATTAAGAATTTATTAATATTTTTAGGAATATTGAGTTCCATTACTATGTCATCGAATGCTTAGTTTTCGAAAGTAGTTTCGGTTGCAAGATCGGTGGTTTTGTATTAAAGTTGAAATGAATCGATTCACGAATTTGGAATCATAAAACCACAGTATTTTCAAAAGCTGTGCCTACGATAACGTTATCATGTACCTCAATATAATAATCTATATAGTATAGTAATATCAATATAGTATAGAGCGTCATTGTCGATGCGATGAATAGTTTTCCTGATATAAGTGAAAACTTGAAAAACAGAAATAAACACGAGGCAAAATCAAATTTTTTTTCTCATAAGTAGCCACAGTTGACGACGGATAACTCGGAAACTGAGCGAGATAGCAAAAAAAGATGTATAATACATCATATTGCAAATTTTGTATCAGCTTTAATTTTGTATAGAACATCTTTGACGATGCGATGGAAAGTATTTCAGATATAAGCGAAAACTAGAAAAACAACAATAAACACGAGGTAAAACTTGTTTTTTTCAAAATTAGCCATAGTTGACGACGGATATCTCGAAAACTAAGCTAGATAGCAAAAGAAGGTATATAACCAATCATATTGCAAATTTTGTATCAGCTTAAATTTTGTATAGAACGTTTTGTCGATGTGATAGGTAGTTTTCCTGATATAAGTGAAAACTCGAAAAACAGCAATAAACACGAGCTAAAAAATTGTTCGTTTTTTTTTCAAAATGAGCCATAGTTGACAACGGATATCTAGGAAATTAAGAGAGATAGCGAAAGCAATTTGATAATCAACCATATTGCAAATTTTATCAGCTTTTATTTTGTATAGAACGTCTTTGTCGACGCGATGGATAGTTTTCCTGATATAAGCGAAAACCCGAAAAAAGTGACCTACTAGGGAACTCCTCTCCCCCAAACTTGCTCATATCACCTAGGAGTGGGGACTTTCAGTATGTTTACCTCCTCACTAGTCGAAACAACGTCTCTAAGTCATAAATTGTGTTGCCGCCATTCCCTTCTAAAATCATTTATTGAGTGGACTACATACCCAAAATGGACCATCAAGAAATCAGAAAAGGTATCAGTTATAATTTATTTTTCCCACTCTGCTGAGATAATATATAACACCAAGATTGTATTCTTGAAGATGTTTGAATTTGGGGAATCATCTACAGGCTAGTAGTTTCGTCTACAAAGACTTGAGGCTTTTGCTGGTAATCTTTCGGTAATTACTTAATAATAACATTTAATTCTATGGACTCTATTTTTTTTTTTTTTTTTTTTTTTCATTCGGCACTAACCGAAAGTAATATAAATTTTTTGTACTGATTCAAGCCAGGAACCTAACCTCAAGCATACACTTCCGCAAGAACACAAACAGACGATCAAAGGGGATCTGAGGAGCTTTATGAAGGGCCAAGCAGCCCACGGATAAACAAACACTAACGCGGTATTTAGTGCTGCTACCTTCTGGGAGCACCTATACAAACATAAGATAACAAAGCCGAGATATAAACACACAACCAACGACTTTTAATCCAGTGAAATTGCGATGTATGGTTACAAAAAATGAGTTAAAAATCAATTTTTTTCAATTTCATTCACTCCTCCTACAAGAAGTGGCACTATTTTGAGAATACCTATATTTTTTTTTATCTCCCTCTTTTCGAAATATCTCCATAAATATAGGCCTGACCAGCATATATATTTTTTTTTATTTGGCTTGTTTGATTTATCAAATTTAAGAGACCTATTCGGAGCTTTTGGAAGTAATACATAGTCCGTTGAATATTTAGATTTTTACAGAAAAAAACACATGAAATTATTATTAGTTTTTGTTAATTGTATAAAGAGAAGTTGTACTTTTCACCTTTTTTTGTAAACCTTTTAATATTCAACGAGATATATATTACAGCTACAAATGTCGTATTGGTACCAAACATTAGATAATTTAAAGGAGGAAAAAAATTCATTCTTTAGGTTATTGCTTAGGAAAGGAGTAGAGAAAATTCACTGAACAAAGACAGGTGAAGTAATTAATAAATGAACTTTCCACTCTAGAACCAGATGGCTGCTTGGCGTGAAAATATGCGAACTTTGACAGGCAGGTCCACGAGGAAAAGAAGGGGTTTTCGGACTGAAGCTCTGGACCAAAATAGAGAAATATATACTATTTTTTCATTGGTATTAAATTTCTGTGAGTGATCTAAGATAAATACTTAAATAATCACAATACGTACTCTTTTTAAATCATAACGTACGTACCTGAGCTACTAAATGCATGTAGGTTTAGAGATAAAAATATCATTAGGACCACTTACTTAATCTTCATTTTGTATAACTTCATTTATCTTCGTCCAGAGTAATTATTATATAATACCGTTATAATTATATTTTGTTTATAAGTTCTTCCCCAAAAGTTAAATCCTGGAATCCTCTACTGCTTATTGGAGTACTCACAGGCCACTACAAGCTCAGAGACCGTTTGAAGATTTGTGGAAGCAGAAGAAACCGCTTTAAATTTCTTAGCAGATTGCAACCGATTTGCATCCCTTAAGTACAGTTTACTGGGCTCTGATAGAATATAGAATTATTATGCATCCTCAGTAGAATTGCCTGGAGGAATAATAGATCTATTCATAGGTTTTTTGGGGCAAAAATGACGAATAGACCAACTTGCTGGACACGCGACCCCCTCATATTTTACCAATACCAATTGGTTAATGCTTATTAGCAATAACAAATCAAAAGAGAAAGTTTAAAATTAGGACAAATACTTCCCGTGAATACTGTAAGCTCAATATTTCTTCCAATAATTCAGTATGCTGTCCCGAGCTCCAAGACATCTTATTTATCCATAACCTTAGTTATAAATAATCAAATAAATTTAGATACTTTAGATTTTTCTTATTCATAATATTTACAACTGAATTAAAAAAATAAAACTAGTAAATTAGTACAAATGGATATAATGACACGAAAACACTTATTGAAAGACTACCCACGGGTAGCACTCTAATAAATTGTCTATATTAGGAGATCATAGGGCCATCTTCTTTTCAGACGCCTCGGAGTGAGTTTAATTTTAATTTTCAACAATTAATTACCAGCTCTCAAGTCGATCTAAAACTTTCATTCTCCAGGAACACTTTTATTTTCATTTTAAGCTATTTATTCCTTCAAGTATTGGCTATCATACATTTAGCACACAAGGTTACGAACATACACATAAAGTATTATGGAACCAACAACAAATTGAGAATATTTGAAATAAAATAAAATGTTTCTTCAGCATTTGTTTCATTGGACTTTCATGGACCTTTGGATGGAACACTTAAGATATTTTTGGCATTAAGCATAATTTGTATCAAGCATAAAGCATTAAGTAATAATTTGTAATGTTTTTACATTTTTCTCGATTATTTATACTTTTATTTCTATAATACTTTCAATCTCTACTTACTGCAATGAATGTCATTCAGTTTCATTTCTCTGATGGTCTTTCCTCTCATGCTCTCTGGGTAGACGCAGGTTGCTGAGATGTCCGGAACCGCGCTCATCACTTCCTTCATCCCGCAGTCACAGACTAGAGAATTACTATCTAACCTCCTATGCATTCGTAATTTTTTAAATTATTTTATAGTAAAACATTGATAACACAATAATTTTAAAAATCTAATATGAATAAATATTTACTTACAGTCTCTTGAGGGAGCTTAGCCCAGTGAAGGTACCGGTCGGAATGTATTGGATCTTGTTCTCGTGCAAGAACCTACACATTTTATAACGTTAGTAAGGCCCAATACTTATTTAAAGAATATGATACTATCTTACTTACAGCCTCTGTAAACTTGTCAGACCGTCGAACATATGAGGATGTAGTTTCTCAATCTTGTTCATTTGAAGATACCTGTGAACAGTTGAGTGTATTTTGGGATTCATTTTTAACACAGGATAACAGAGAATATATGGCATAGAAAGAAATCTTACAGTTGCTCCAGTTTAGACAGACCGTGAAAAGCACGCTCTTCGATGTTTCTGATCTTGTTCCGGTACAAAAATCTGCAATACAAAAAAATAAACGCTAAAACGTTAGAAAATCTGCAATACAAACAAACAAATAAACTATGTTATATTCTTGCTTAATGTTATAATATAAGAACCAAGTGAGAGGACACATTATTTGACTGAAAATTGAATTTAATGTATTATTTTATATTTTACACTAGACACACACATTTTTGGACTACTTAAAACTAACAAAATGGTTCAGAAAAAAAATACTTTAAATTATTTAGAATGTATTATTCAAAAAATTCTTCCGTGTAATATTTTCCTATTTTTTCGAAAATCTCACATGACATGTACTATTACTTAGCTCTTCAACTGTACATTATAATTCTACTTACAAGGTTCGAAGCTCTTCCAAACCATTAAAAAGATCGTTTCCCAGTGACTGGATAATGTTATCATTGAGTAACCTGCAAATATTAACAAAAGTATTAAATTATAATGTATTACATACATTCTAATAGTTAATGTATTAAGAATATTTTTAACAAACATGGAATTGCAACCAATTCAATAATCTTTTTTTTTATTCAGGAATTATTTTTATGACGGTTAACAATATAAAAATTGAGAAATAAAATACTGTCAGTTATATAATGGAATCGAATAACTCGGTCAAGATATAAATATCATTAGATTGTGATAAATGAAAGACGCACAAAATAAATCAAAATAAAAAATAAGAATGGAGAATTAGAATTCCGGTGGTACAGATCGCTTCGAAATTTATTTTCTCTCTTTTAGTTTTCTTTCTCTCTCCCATAAATTGAATACTTCGGTAACAATCATATGAAACTTTAACTAGCCTAAAGTCTCTCCTTTTGCTTGCTACAAAGAATGTAAAGGGATGTGATTGAATCCAACGGAAACTTTTCATACCCAACTAAGTAAGCTTTTATAAAGATTAGATTCAATGGACAGCCTATTCCCAACCTTTGGACGATAGTTAAAAGTGAGCCAGAGTGCAAAAGGTGGTTTCAAGGATGTCTCAAGTTATCAAAATTACGAATTCTCTCCCATGTCAAAATAAGGAATGTTAAAAAAAAACATTAGAATAGAATACAACTAGAAGATTAATATTTATAGGAGAAATTCTTGAAAGTACTCGTGGGAAACTAAATTATATTGATAGTTCCATTATTTGTTTTTATAGTCCTTAGGCTAGTCTTATTAATACGTGGGATGACATCAAAGGAAATGTTGAAGTCTCTTTTAATGGAGCAGATCGCCCAAACATCCGCTGCGAGAATATCAACCATGTGCTCATAATTTGTTGCAGCTTTGGTCCTGCCGCTAATTTTAAAGTTTCACTCCTCGTATTTTAGCCTTTAATGTTTTTGACGAAATAATATATATTTCAGGTGTCGAAGGTTTTGTAAAAAAAAGAAAAAATAGCCAATTAATTAGACTCTTTAGAAGTCTTAACAATGTTTGTGGAATAAGTCTTATTCACAAAATTAAATTTAAGTTAATGTGGGAAAAAGGTCACGTTAATTTCAATGCTAGGTACTTTTAGACTTCATAATTATTGTCTAAAGTTTAAATAAAATTAATTTCTAGGATTAGAATTTTTAAGTGGTAAAAAATTCAAAATATATTCTCGTTATTTTAGAAGTATTTAAAAATATATGTGAAAAGTAACAAAAGGTATTGAAATTATATAAATGTATTTTTAATTGTTGCAGTTTTCAAATATACATATGTTGGTATGCTTTGAATTACATAAAAACGCCATATTACAAATGTACCAACGAAAGCGTGTACTTTAGAACTTATTAAGAACAACGAACTTTTTATTTGTCCTCCCCCATCCACCCCTTTTAAGCTATATCAGGTTTTTCCGGGGCTGAGGACGTGGGATTAATACTAGAGTTAAAAGCCCCTTCTCCCCCGACACCGAGATGCGAATTCGTAATTATTTTATCAAGTTATCATATGTTCATCAAGTTGGCGGACAACGTGGTGCTGTGCACACGCACGGAGTCCACTCGTCCACCCAGCCCCACCGAACAAGGAACTAAGAGATTTGGTAATTTAAAGTATATAAAAAAATGACTTTTTGATTTACTCATGTTATCTACAGAAATTGGCACAAATTACACTCCGGTGGGGTATCGTTTATATTCTGCTGTGCCATCTTGGTGACCATAGGACACTGACTCAAACTCCTTTCTCCAGTCCGCAAATATTGATATAATAGTGGTTGCCTCGATATAGACTGTTCTAAATTATTTCCGCTTGTAAAAACCAACATATGGTGTCCGTGCACGGGTCAGCCTGGAAGCAGGTCCGTTGGGAATAAGGCTATCTCTGAGCAATAAGTCTTGAGATAATTAAGAATAGTTTTCTTAAATACCTTGCCCATGTGCGGAAGCAAGTTGATTGGTCTGCAATCGGCTGGCTGGAATCCGTTCTTTGCAGGTTCCGATAGTGCGAAAATGATGTAAAGCTTTAAATTACTATTAATTAACTTTATAAAGCCACACAGTAAAAACATAAAGTAATGATAGTAACCGAAATATAGACAGATTTATAAGCTAATCCTTCTACATTCTATTATTGTTCTTAGAGTATTTTTAGGTCTAGAATAAATGAAACATTCCCCTTCACTGAAAAAAAAAAAAATCGAGCAGAGATGGAAAACAAATAAAGAGAATTGAAAGCAGTCAATTATTCCTTTTAATTGTTTTTCTACTCAGATTTATTGATCCTTAGGCGAGATATCTTGTATTTATTTATAGAACTCAAGAAGAGGGAAAGAAACATTTAATTGGCCATGTTTCCTATCCAGATTGTTTTTGTTAATTTTTGTATTTGAATTTTCCCTAAAATAACATACTTTTATACTATGCCGGTTATCTAAGGGATGGTGTGCACTTTATGTACATTTACAAACCTCTAGAAAAAGATTATGTCCCTCTTCCTTTATATCTTTGTATAGGTATAAGTACATGAATGATTAAAATTGAAATTTAAAATATTGAGAAATGATTGAATAATACAATGTCAATTATGTAAGATGTAATAGAACACAAATAAATATATAGGAGAAAAAGGTCTTTTTTACTTCGCGACTGCAAATTCCTTTTCAATAGCAACATATGATTTAAGTTTAAATTGTTTTTAACTGTTACCGATTGGGTTATTTATTGTGTAGCTTCTGGCGTGTTTAGATACTAAAAACAAATCTTTTGCAATTATCTGCTACATTCCAGAGTAAAGAAAACGTGCTTCAATGACTCCAAGAAGCAAGGATAGTGGGATTATTTGTTATCGGTGTAAAAAACATGTGCCAATTTATTTATTTGAATATGAGGTTATAACTACGTAACGGTAGTTATTAACAAGTATGTAAACATTAACAAAGAAATCACATGTTGTCAATTTTACTAAAAATTTATTTGCGGCAGTGAAGTAAAAAATCTGGTGCGCGTAACACACAACTTTCACTTAACGCTCTACTTTGAATATAAATTATTTTCTGGAATTGCTGTACTATTATAAAATTTTTGAAGTGTATTTTAAACGGAGCTTAAGGCTTACAGATAACAAATCATTAATACCATTAAAATCACAAAAAAGTATATTTATTGTATCGACGATAGGCTATAAAACTCTAGTTACTCCATCTGTTGTTATACACCACATAACTTCAGTCTCTGAGCATTTCAGTTGACAGAATGACTAACTCCAATTTCAACATTTTTAGGTAATGTTATTTTAGTGATATTTCTCGTTAAAAATCTATACAGACAGTGAGTAAGTTGATTCCAGAGTAGGTGATTGCAGTGTTGAAACATAGAATTGTAAATAAAGATATACATTTTTCCACTAGAAACATCACTAAAATTAATAATAAAGAATGTCGAAATTGGGGTTAGTCATTCAATCAACTAAAAGGCTCATATATGCCTAGAGAGGTTTGAAAGTATATCTGTATATTCAACCTATAAATGATTATGGGTTGTAGGACTAGGAACTTCTCTTCAAACTTAAAAAAACATTTAAAAGTTTACATAGTAAGAAAATGTAATTTAATTTCCTTGGAAACGTGTGATTTACGTTAAATAATATTACTTTTCTGAAATTATTCTTTTTTCACCACTATCCCTTACCTTTTTACCTTTCTATATAAGATAGTGTTTTTCCTAAAATTCTCCGCTTTCCAACGATATATTATACTTATACCTTCTGACTAGTAATTCCGGAGATTCATTTTCAATCTGGATAAGCATTTTCATTTTTTTATCCTTTATTCAATTATCAAATTCTTTCAAAAGTTATATTTAGCATTTTTTCGTACCACTAAGTAATGAGAGATAGTTGATTATTTTAAATAAATCAAATTACAGGTACATTAGAGGAAGACGTATACGAACATTGGGCATTTAAGCACTGTAAAGTGACATCACTGGGAATAAGACCTAAATAATATTAAAGAGAACTTAATTATACAGTTATACACAGATTTTAATCAAAATCCTTACAGCCGTTTTTAAAAAAATTGTAAAAATGTGTTTTAGCGTTGATATAAAGTGGCACTTCCGGTTAGCCGATTTTAACGAAAAAGTTGCTGCCACATCTAAGGCATATAAATACGTAATATCAGTTTCGTACGACTTTTCGTTTTTGAGCTAGACTTTTCACATACACACAGACTCACAGACACGCATACCATTTTTCGGGACTTGGTTATTTGGACTCAGGTT